AGTTGTCTTACCAACTCTGAGAGGCCAATTAATTAAGAGTAAAAAAATTTTTTTTTAAGTGATAATCAAGATAGCCCAGTACAGACAGTTTGATAAGAAGTGTGAGAATACTTACAAGGGGAGGTAGATTCAATGTTTGTAATGGCTCAGCCACTCCCAGTCCTTATTCAAACCGGAGTTGATTGTGTCATTTTAATTAGCCCAGAAAGGTTGCTGCATAACACTGCCCTTGTTGCCATTTACTCTAATGGGGCAATGCTCACTCTCCCTCAAACACTCACAGGACAGATGCTCTTGCACGTTACTATATACTGGTCTCTCTGCTAAATCCCTACACAGCGTAAATAATGTCCAAAATGCTGCAGCCAGATTAACTATGTGCACTGGCTGTGGTCAGCACATTACAGTAGCACTTGACTCACTACACTGCCTCCTGTGTGATGGAAGCCACGCATGCAATCTTGAACCACAAGGCTTAGAGGACTTGCAGGTCTTTCACATGGCCAATATACTGCTTCCTTATTCCTTTCAGCAAGTTTTCAGTGACTGAGGCCAAAGTTGATAGTAGCCCCATCTTGAGGGATAGGGTTCCCAAGGCTGGGTATTAACCTTCTTGGTAACCCATAGGTTTGCAATGCGATGTGTGGAACACAGGGAACACTTATTCTCTAAGCTCTGAACTCAGGGGGTTTCTTCTTTTTACTTCCTCTCCTCCTTTTCCCCATATTCTAGCAACTCCACCTCTGAGAGGCCTGGAATTTGAACTCTTTTGGGACCATCCTGGAGTGCAGAGAAATTCACTAGAGAGCAAAGGGATGCAATGTAATAACCTTGGGACCAAAGGTGTCGAAGCACCTAAAGATACAGAGGTGCCTAGGTGCTTAAATCCCATTGATTTAAATGAGAGCTCATTAGGTGCCTATCTGTATCTTTAGGCACCTAAATACCTTTAAAAATCTGCTGACTGGGGAGTTAAGGACCAAGTTTTGCTCCTCTCCGTAATAGCAAGTTGTACCGGCAACAGCTAGTGAGATTCTTTGTACATTTCTTGAGTACTTTGAGGCCTAAATCCTAAGAAGCGAGCATCTCCTAACAGTTCACACACTCAGTCACGTTATTCGACATCACAGGACAGTATTTTCCTACATATGGAGTAAGAAAACGGCTCGGAGACAGTGGGGTGCTAACTGACGGCTGTTAGAATTAATTATGAATGACTTGCTAAAAGGCCATCTCGCAGAGTTAATAACTTATAATACAAGGCGGGATAACCTGGAGCAAGGAGGGATAACCACACCTACTTCAGAAAGTTACTAACTACACAGATTAGCTCATTTCCCCCAGCCAGAAACTGTTACAGTAGCAAATATGCTCACTGATGATCACCAGAGAGGATCACCAGAGGAAAGAGAAATATTCCACTCAGCTCCCCAACTAACACAAAGGAAGAAAATATACAGCAGTCTGGAAAAAAGCTTTACATCTCCTCCAACATAGGCCATGTCACACCTTGGCTATGATCTTTCCAAGTGAGAACACTCACTCTCAGACCTTAAGTCACGACTCTACGCACCAGCTCCGCAGAATTTCTATGCAAATCAATGCCACCATCTCCATCAACAGCCCTGCCATAAATAGAGTATGATAGCAGAGGGATTAACTTAGATTTAAAATACAGCACAGCAGCAGTTGCTATGTTGAGAGAGGGTAACTAGGAAATGCAATAAACTCTCCCATTTTCCTGTATCCTTGGAACTCACACCTCAAAGTCACAAGGAGGGACAGCTGGGCAGTTTCGAGTTTTATTTCTCAGAGCCGTACTCGATCTGTGTTGGCTGAAGTTACAAGGGAAGGTGGTGTATAGACCAAATCCATTATTTCCCCCACTGTTGTCAACAGCAACTTGGCTTTTCAAAGGGTCTCCAGTAAGCCTGGTGTATGGCAAATTTAGAGGACCTTGAGACCTCCCACCTCCCCCACTTTGGTACAGAGACAAACTCACCTTAAAATCTGTATTATTGATGTACTCAAACACCAAAGCTGGGGTCTTTGACTGCAAGAGAGAAAAGTGAATGGTTTAGCCATCTTCCTGCAAGAGCAGTACCTTCTGCCCTTTCTGAGCCCCGTAATTCTGACTGACAAAAAACACACTTGCATTTACTTTCCTGCCCCAAGCTTTTGCCCACTGTTGTGCCCCACACAACAGGGTAGGAACACTCTGCTACCAAAGTGTGCTGGAACAAATGCTTATTACCCACACAGCTAGCATCAGCTAGGCATTTCCCACCATGCTTTTCCCCTCCAGCTGGTTGATCACAGATAGCATAAGATGTTAGTGCACAGCAAGGTGAAATGTATCGCCTCACAGCTGAGCTGGTAAATGAAATTGTATCATTCTCTTGCTAATACTTAGAATTTACTAATCGTTTTCTCTTGTAGTTGTCAATAAACTAGAAGGTCATGTGACCCAGCCCAACAACCCCTTCCCTTATCATCCCCCAACCAACAAAGAAATCGTTCTGAAAGGGGCAAACGTAGCAGCTAAATAACAAACCAGATCAAACAAGAGAAATATTATTTAGGAAGTAAGGAAGAGGAAATAAGCAATAAGCTGTTAGGTAGGAAGACAACAAGATGTAACCAAGTGGGAGGATGAGCACCTGCTATCAATTCACCTGGACAAATCTTACCACTGTTTAAGCCACAAGTGGCCATGACGCAGAGATGGCATATGCGTGCGTGCGCGTGTGGAGTCACAAAGCTTTCCCCCCACCCCCAAGAGGCATCATTAGATACAGAAAGTGAATCAAGGATTTTGGGGTACAGGGAAGATTACCAAATCATCCAAACCAAAGTATTCTCAAAAGAACCTAAAAACCCAACACGGCTCTTCAGTGAAGGAAGATGTAAACAGCAAGATGAAAACTAAGGTGACAAGACAACCAGCAAGAAACAGGAGTTTTGCACTTGAAACATGTATTTCCATCAATTACCCTACAGATTACAGCTCAAGACAAGCCCAGCACTAGATACCTCAGGACATACGGATACCTACCACTGGATCCTTGACCGTGTCAATCAGCTTAATGATGTTGGTGCCACCTCGCAGATTCTCCAGAATCTTAACCTCTCGTTTTATCTTCTTTTTCTTCACTGGCTTAAATACACAAAAGTGATTAGAAGTGAGACCCTTTCAGAAGATACCACCAGTTCTCATCCAGTGATTTATACTGGACTGAACTACTTCCCGCCTCGTGGGGGAGGGCGAATGAGAACACTCCTAGCCACAAGGCGGCGGCAGTTTTCAGAAAGGGCCGACACAGGGCAGACAGGCGTCTCAAACAGTATATTCCCTCTTGTCAGGATGGGTTACTTTTCCGTTGCACGCAATGGCAGAGCACTTTACAGACAAAACCAGCTACCCATACTGTGGTCATCACCAAGTTTAAAAGCACTTGAAAACCACCCAACACGGAAAAGGTTACAGTTAGTTGTTATGCATTATTGCATTTATTATCATGACAAATATGGCAGATGATGTACCACAGCCTGTGTTTACTGGTTTAACAAACATGATTTTTTAGTTCCATTGCTGTGCAGTTCTTATTTCTTCTGGAAGTAACCTATCTTGAGTCATTCTTCAGTTACTTAAATTTGCTGAAATTCCAGTTATCAACATTTATGAAGCAGTTTAGACGTTTAAGTGTATAATTACACACCATTTAGTCATTCAACTACCCCAGGGAGTGTGAACACCCAGTAAAACTGCACCTGTTGACAAGTTATTGCTTTTATACACACTTTAAAAAAAAATTGTAAGGATATTTTGAACTGCTGTAAACTTGTCTTCAAACATACACACTCCAAAAACCTGTTTTTGGGAGCAAACTTTCTGAAGGAGGGTTCTTCTCAAATTAAAGGTTTTTTTTTCCCCCCACCCAGACTGATCAACTGCCCATTTCCATATAACGAGATAATTTACATAACTCAGCATAAGGGGAGTTACAGTTGTTGACTCTCTATTCCTGCCCCTGCTTGGAGGAAAGAGCAGCACAGCAAGTAAGATTTTAAGACAATGGCTATAAACAATGGTTCCTGGGCCAGGAGTGATCTGCAGACTGAGCTAGAGAGAACCACAGTGAGGTACTGAGAAGGGCTTTCAGTTCCTGAAAAGCACTCTCTCCTACTCACATATCGCTCCCTCCCAGTTTGTAGAATGAGAAACTTTAGAGACCCACCATTGTAACACTGAATTGAAAAACTTTCCTTTTTCATTCTGGCTGCCTCCTGAAGCACTGAAAGTTAAAGATCCCTGAGAGGCTTTTAAAGTCTCTAAGTGCTTTCAATTTGAAAACAAAATAGTCAGAAAAACCCCTTAGTCACAGGTATGAGCACTAACCCCCGCGTCAGATCCCGCCTATAAGAGAGAGCATATCATAAACACAAACCAACGAATTCTCAGTAAACAGACTGCTCAAAAAGCAAGAAAGCCAAAGGAAAAAAATGAAGTTTCAGTTAACAGACTCCCATTAAACCGGTTATATTTAAAATCTACATTAAGAAAACATTAAAGTAGGACCATTAAGCACCCACAAATCAGGAAAAGAAAGTTAAGTTGCACATACCACCTTAACTCTACCTCCTTGTGAATAAACACTACTATACAGTTAGTCACAATCTCAAATTAAGTAATTTTAAGCTTTTGGAAAGATAAAATTCCATACAGTAACTAGACAAATAGTGATCTCGTTGTGTGACTGTGTCCTGAACACCTTAGGAGGATCTGGTCAGGTTTGCAAGATGTGCATTGAACGAGGCAAGGGATTCTATGTAGCCCTTTCGTTCAGTGTGAACCTGCAGTAAATTTTGCAGTATGTAATTAAATTTTAGATACAGGCGTGCTGCATAGCCTACCTTCAAAGAGTTAAAATATCATTCCATCTTTACTGCATGTACACAAAGAGAGAGTCAGATCTCAAAAGTCGGTCAAATCAAAACAAACCCCATTTTCACCAGAATTCTCCAAAGCCACTACCCCTCAATAAGGGCTATTTCTCTGCCAGATTAGGTTTTGTTTTCCCTCTCCAACCATTTTAGCTTTAGAGCTGTTCTGAAAGCATTACAACTGTATTTATTTATATAACGGAGCAAGTATCTCCTCTCTCATATGCTGTCAAACACGGCTGAACCATTTTGACTCAAACTTTCCAAAACAGGTCATCTTCCAACAGACACCAAGGTTAGAAATTTTCAACTCAAAGGTGAAAGTTGCAGAAAGTTATGAACTACTGAAAACATGGGTTTACTATGGAAACAATTAAGCAAACCCTCACAGATAACAGTTACTGAGGCTCCCATAACACATGAATTGCAGCACAAGATATAATACAACCGTATAAAATTGCATCGTGCCCATCAGTTACAAGAGTCAATCGGTGCCACGGACTGTCACCACTCTCCAGTGTCCAATGGAGAGATGACAATGAGTAAGAGTCACACAGGTAACAATGACAGAACTGGAACATCTGCAGCAGCAGGGGAAGGGAGCAGTCACCTGTGTGTGTCATGGACCCAGCAGGAAGAGGTTTCATTATGGGACTATTATTCTGTCCATATCAGAATGGACAGTAAACCTTCTAGCTTTGTTCCTGTGGTTTGATTATCACCTAAAGGCCAAGATGGAATTAAAGGGACATAAATCCAGTTACTGTACTGTAGTCTCAGAACTATGCACGAGTTGCTCTGTCACATACACTTCAATATCTAGGCCCAGCCAGGAAGCTGAAGAGGCATCCTTAACTTGTCAAAAGGACAAAAATGATATCATTTGCAGTGCGTTTGTAGTTGTGTTGGTCCCACGATATTAGAGACACAAGGTGGGGGAGGTAATATCTTTGATTGGACCAACTTCTCTTGGTGAGAGAGACGAGCTTTCGAGCTACATAGAGCTCTTCTTCACCTCAAAAGCTTGTCTCGCACACTAACAGAAGTTGATCCAAAAAAAGATTATTTCACCCTCCCTGTCTCACTCTCAAAGTGATGTCAGACAGTTAACGTCTGTATTTTATGTCCTAGTCTAACAGGGTGAGGTGTAAAACCCACTTACCCCTTCCACTGTATTAACTCCGAGGGCCTTAGCACCAGCGTAGGCAGAGGTGCGGTGGTTCCTCCATCCTGAACCTTTTATTAAGATTCTTCATTATAGCAGTAATGACCACTCTAGTTAATGATGAAGAAAGGTTTCTATTCTAACCCACTTTTCAATCACTCCTACATGTCTCAACATTTTGCCTTTTGTCATGAAAATCTCCAGGCTTGGTCTCTGGCTGAAAGTGGTTTCTCTTCTTTTCAAAATGTGAGCAAACGCTGTTCGGCCACTTTTCAAATCAAAGAGAGTGACTAAAACCTTTGTAGCTGAAATGCCAGCAGGTAGACGTTGAAATCTGACAGGGTTATCTTTGTCATGAAAAAGAAATCGTTTGGAGAGCTCTAGCAATAACTGGTTTCAACTTGATTGAGTTAGGACCCTTTCAAAACTGCATGCAATACACCCCCTTGTACACGTGCAGTATGGTCACACTCTCATATACATCATACAGTTTTCTCCTACAACCTTAAATATCTGCATACCCTCTTTTACTACTATGGTACTAGCCTCATAATGCCGAACAACGCCCATTTCAGCCCCTTAGCTGAAGAGTACACAAACTGCACATAATACTGGACGTTCCCTTGTATATGCAGAAGGGCACCTCACTTTACAGCTAAGGCTGGGCTACACTTCCAAGTTTAATAGTAGTATAACTGTTCTAGGTAGAGATGTGATTTTTCCCCCCATTCTCTTTCTATTTTTTTAACTGAAATGGCTATACCGGCAAAAGCCCTAGTTATACCAGTATAAAGGTGCCTTAGATTGTGATAGTTATTCTTCCTCTTGTGCAGGAATACTTATTATCAATATAAAGCATCTTTATACCAATGTAAGGGTGTCCACGCTGGGGTGTTGCGTTTGTACTACTTTAGTGACATCAGTATAGTTAATGCAGGACAACCTTCTAGCGTAAATAAGGCCTCACTTTTGTAGATACCTGCCTCCTCTCCCAAACTGCATCTACACAGAGAGGCATTAAGGACTGAAAACACAATGTGCAGTGCATGTCTGCTGACCACATTTATATACCTTAGAGACAAGAACGAGGAGTCCTTGTGGCACCTTAGAGACTGAGGCCTGGTCTACATAAGTTACGCAACTTCAACTACGTGAATAATGTAGCTGAAGTCGACGTACTTAGATCAACTTACCGTGGTGTCTTCACCGCGGTGAGTCGACTGCTGCCGCTCCCCCGTCGACTCTGCCTGTGCCTCTCGTGGCAGTGGAGTACAGGAGTCGACGGGAGAGCGCTCGGGGATCGATTTATCGCATCTACACTAGACGTGATAAATCGACCCCTGCTGGATCAATCGCTGCCCACCAATCCGAAGGGTAGTGTAGACATACCCTAATTTATTTATTAATTAAAGTCTAAGGTGCCACAAGGACTCCTCGTTGTTTTTGCCGATCTAGACTAACACGGCTACCACTCTGAAACCTTAGAGACAAGGTTACATATAGGAAGCCAGATTATGACAAAGACAGTGTAAATACATGAGAATGAAAAATACACAGGCTGCAGCCTGTGTAACTAGAACTGTAGAGAATACTGTTTAGGAGAAATATCCTGGGCATGCAATTAAAGCCTCATTGTAACACAGATTTGCGACTGCATGCAACTTTAATCACCCAGGGCAGGAAATGACAACATTCATCAGGCAAACTAATATTTTCAACCTTTAAAAAAATGGACTATTCTTTGTTCACCAAATCCTATCGGCAGATGCTGTAATGATTCCAATCAATCAGTATGCAAATCTTGGTGTTACAGAGTCCAACCTCAAAAGAACTTGCCTAGCATCCGTATGACAATGTTCAATAGGTAGATTGTACTCAAGGCCTCTTTATAGCTAGCAATTGTTACCAAGGGGTTATTATAACCAACCTACTAAGCACAACATTGATTGCTCAATAGGGAAACTGGCTTCAGGACAGCTGAATTTATTTTGTCATTAGCAAATGTTAGCTGGAAAACCAAGTAATACAGATTTAAAGCAGTTGTGAAA